TCGGCACGACTGGGGCAAAGCAATGCGACAGTGAGCACACCTTCAGTTTCAACCGGTGGCGCAGTCTTCGCGAGACGAAAAAAGAAGTTGCGGCATGGTTGTTGCGCGTCGCGAGAACACGTCGACACCGAACGAATCAGAGGCCAAACATAAAAGAAGCGACAGCCAAGAGAAAGTAGTGATCGTATGATTCGCTATTGTGCTCGATGTCTTTTAGGCGACGAGAAGAAGAAGCTGCTACTAAGAGCCTGAACTCGCTAAATTTGAAGAAACCGCCCAGCTGTCGTATCCGACGGGTATTGACAAGAGAAAAGAGGAAGGAAAGAGATGTAGTGAGGTGAGTTGAAGAGAAGAGGCTGTTTGTGGGTCTGCTGCCTACAGAAAGCTGAAACATCGCTCGCTGAACGGATGCGCATATTAAACTAAGTAAGGTGAAAAGTACTGCGCCTCGCGATCAGTACATGAAGCTTTTTTGCTGCTCTATATCGATATCGAACCGGCTCTTATCGGTATCGTCGGTATCGCCACTCATCGGTCGTTCCGAGGGCGCACGGAAGTGGACCGGGGTGATGGCGGTCCCGGGCCGCGTCTCATCGTCGCCCGTGAGCTTCCGCGTGTCCATCTCGACTTGGTCAAGGACAGGCGTGATTTTCTCCTTCCTTCTGCTGTTTTGCGAGTTGTTTCCGTACTTGGACCCTTGCTGTCTTGCCCGGTGCGGGAAGAGAAGAGGCTTGAGCGCTGGAATGCACCCGCAGATGACACCGACGTTTGTTTCAATGGCAGTCCAGACCCAAATCTGGTATCCCTCCCACGTGGCATCGTATGTTTCGAAGAGTGTGTAGTGGACCCAGTAGGCGCGGAAGCTGCTAGCCACAACGATGACACCGCCGACCGAGAAGAGAATGACGAGACCGATACGTTGGGTGGTCGGTAACGAGAGGCCGAAGAGCGTGGGAATAGGTAGCGCGTAGATCATGAAGTCGGTCACGACGTTGAGGACACTTTGCACAACCAGTGGCGGTCCTTCAGGGATGCAGTCGCGGTGGTCGGCTTGCAGTGTCCAGTAGCTGGAGATTGGGCTGTGGTTGTCAGTACTGGATTAAGTTGATCACGTGGATGTACTTACATGCATTGTACCCAGAGTGCGACCAAGAAGACAACAAAGGCGGCGAACACGAGGGCAAAGGTTGCCCAGACGAGCTTGCGGAAGAGCGACTTCTCTGGCGCGATGCGGAAATACGAGATGAGGATAGACATCTTGACGGTGGAAGAGGCCAGGACGAATAGTGTTTGGCCTGCCATGGAAGCCTAAAGCCGTCAATATCAGCGTGTGGTGACACGGGTTGCACATTGTCGTACCTGTCTACCGACCATCAGCTCGTGCGGCTTGAGGTCCCAAACGTGGCGATCCCAACCATACAGTTGGGATGCCATGATGACGATTACTGTTGTGCCTGTAGAAGGGGTTAGATGATGGAAGTCATGACAAATTCGGGTTCCGTACCAATACTGAAGACCATTGCCACGATCATGAGGTAGTCGTCATACCAGCTCTTCTTGAGCCATGCTATCCGTACCCATAATCGAAGGAAGACCACAATCATAGCGATGGGTAATAATGTCAACTCGACAATCATCAGGCCTGAGCCCCTCGTGACGGGGTCGACGTAGTTCGGCTTGGGCCATGTCGCAAGGACCTCGGGTGGGGGAGACCTCATGGTGATGGCGTATGTGTTTCGAAAGCCGTGAACGTTTGTTAATCGATGTTAGTCGATAGTAGGATGAGACTGAGGAACGAGCGTCACCAGCGTCCAAAGAGCACGGGACTGGGAATGGACAGGAATATAACCTTCACTCAGGGCGAGCCAGATCTCCACCCGTATGCTCCAGCTGCGCCGTGCACAAAGGCTCGAATTCCAGTGGGGCTTGGCCATCGTTGGGAAGCATGGTATGCTGGAGTACAGAATGCTCATCTGCGCAGCACCATTGGCAGTGCACCACGGGAGCTCCGTTGCGGGTACGGAATGGTGTCGGTTTCGCCCGCAGGGGTCCAGGTACCAGCGACGTCGGTAGTCCCTTCAGCTCGCGCTGTGACTTGCTGGTACAAATGACCAGTGTGGATGGGTGACCAGTAGCCGGGAGCTGACTGTGGAGCGTTAATGTGACTGGGTTCAGGCAGGTTGTTGCTGCGGCTCATCAGTGGGTAGAGACGCATTCCACGCATGGCCAATCGCTGTCCCGGAGCCGGGGTAGCTGAGCAGTAGTACCGAATCCGGCGTCTGGACGTTTTGCCGCAGGACAACCTGATTTGGAGGCCCGTATATGAGCCGATACTTTGGGAGACCAGCGGCGTCCTCTAGACTACCGCATTCTGGCAAGCCGAAATGCTGCTTTTCCCACCATCGCGCGATTGTCGCGTGTCGTGAGCAGAGATCGAAGGGTCCAGCGTTGAGATTTCGCCCGTCGTGGCGAAGCGCTGTCGGATCGCCCGCCTAGCAGCAGGGGCCACCCCCGGCCTCGTCTATCTCAACAACGAATAACCTCACCGCATCACGACAAAGTGTGATCCGCCTTCGCTCTGCGCGATGCCCTGCGGATGCGGGACATTGACGGCGCCTGTTGCTGTCTCCGCTCTCTCGTGGCTGGCAATACTCCGCCCGCCGTCTTTTTCCTCCTAACCTACTCGCCGACGTCTTCTCGCTGTCTAGTTGTCTTGGTGACGTCGCGTCTTCGGTACCACCTACCCACTGTGTGTCGTCAGCACGTTGTGTCTTTGATCAAAGGAGCCACAGTAAGCGGTATCCCCGATCCAGCCTACCCTCAGGTACACATGGCTGTTGTTTCGAGACTCACGCGATCCACATTACGAGACCCATTAAGACTAGGGACGCCTATGCGGGCGCCTCGACGGCATCTATTGCGCCACGCAGAAACTTCGAGTTGGAAGTACGAGGCCTCGATTGACTTCCACACTCAAGAAACCTGATCCCGGTCCTGTGAAGACTTCATCCCTCTTCCTTGCAAAGATCACTCTATCCAAGCCGCTTCCCCGCCAGCAATTCCTGGCCTTTGGGAATACTCAGCCGTTACGTACTGCCACCGTCAAAACACTAATGATCCTTCCGCGGCTGTGCTCCACTCCCTGGAGGCATGCACATGCATCTCATCTACCGACATGCACACACGACGTCGTGTATACAGAGGCCACCGTGCTCGCTCGTTGGCAACGGTTTTACTTCTCAGCTCCCCAAGTATTGGCTACCAAAAACCACTCCCACAACACGGGCTCAGCTCCTGTCCCTATCTCGGCACCCGCGTGGGTCCAGTGCTGTGGGGTACGGCCTCGAATTAGAGACTCGCTAACCACAGCGGCTAAGTGACAAAGCTTCCCTTTCCCGTCTGGTGCCGGCTACAGCATACGATTGGACGTCCACGACATGTCCAAGCTGATCGATGTCCCCTTTCGTCGCTCAACATGTTGTTGACTCCTCGGAAGTGTGTTTTGATTGCGCCATATCAGGACTGATTCAGAGCAGTACAAAACCAGTCATGTCCTAACGGCTAGATATGCGACTGCGGGACGGCTTCCAATTGACCAGCTATTGGCCCTAGCATCACACCGTTGAAGCCTACAAACGTCCTCAGCATGGGTCATCGCTCTCAACAAGGACGTTACAAGTCCATAGGAATGCATCACGACCAGAGGCGTGGTCATGATATCCACGGTGATCGATAATTGTCACGACCATCGCATCCGATCCACACTGCAATCTTGGTAGTGAAGTAGCTACAACTTAATCCAGCACCTAGGAAATTCCCCGAAGACGGCGGCAACTATATCGGCTCGACATGCTCTGGCTCTTCCTTGCAAGTGCCACGCGGAAGGGTATGCGCGTCTGCACGTCCTTCAGTGTGCTGACTCGTCACATCCTTTCGAGATGTCAGCGAATAACTACACGATACGATGTGATGAACGTCTCGACTCTTCCCAGGCCATCTCGCCTCCCCTGGTCAACCCATGTCGCCGACGATCACGAAGCCACACTCATCAGCGATGTCCCATGGCGACTACATCGGCAGTCGAGCACTGATAGCACGTTCGTCATGCTTTGCACAGGTACCCGCGATTACTCACGGTTCATCACGTTGTCATCCATCGGTAGTTATTCCGGGTTGAGAGCACGGTGCTGGTTGCCTGGAAGCTGTCGTAGAGTTCTTTCTAGTATCTCCATATCGTCAGTGCAGCGGTTATTTCGATCTGCCGACTGATTAGTCGCGATGGTACACTGGGTCCAAAGGGGTAGCCAGAAATCATCAGCGAATATCTCCTGAGTGCTCTATTTGGAAGATACCCACCGTGGCCTTTGCGCATCCGATTACTCATTTCGAAAGTGCGGGTACATACTCCGACTCCCCCATCACCAACCCCTTCCACCCTTCTAGCGTCCGTGCGAAGGCGATGCTAGACTTCCATTTACCACCCCCTTCCCGATCCAGCACCCTACACCAGATCGGCCGGGTAATTGAACCTCCCATCCTAATCTCGTCTCGCGCACATGATGACGTGCGGGTCAAATTGGGGACTCCGGGTTCTCTCCTTTGTTTTCCTTCCCCAAGAGTTCGGATGCGCGGACGCCGAACGGAAAAGGAAAATAAGACACGTAGGCTGAGGCTGCCACGAGGGAAACATAAACTGCATAGTGTGGTGGATGGTGTGGTGGGTGTACGACTAAGCAGGACTAATGTGGGTGTGGCTAATCTTGTCACTAAAAGGAAGGGAGCGTGGGAGTAATATTGTGGTTGTTTTTCTGAGGCTATAGAGAGGTATCGCACTACGAGGTCATGTAAGATGAACTCGCCGCGTCATCAGCATCGGTTTGTTCATCTAATCTCATCTTGGCCGTGCCTACATCTCATGAGAGGAACGGATTAAACCCGTTGCGCTACAGTGTACATCTAAACCAAGACGAAGATTGACAAGTCCGAAGGTAACGTAGACTTCAGATAGGTCGTTTCCACTGTGCCTCGCGCTCGATCCAGGAATCGCGAGTTTGAAAAAGGGCTTGTGCGAACGTTGGATCAAATTCATTATGATCCGCTGACTCGAGAAAGAACAGGAGTTGCGGAATGCCAGGTTCAGTCCACTTTGAGAGTTTCTCCGAGTCAGACGACATTCCTATCCACAACTCTTCCGCAATGACTTCGCGCATAGAGAGAGCTCTATAGCGCCAGCGCTCAATTGCCACGGGGAGATGCTGCTGGATTCGTGGCAAGAGGTCTCCAATACGAATGCCGTCCACGTTGTGGATTCTTTCAAGTAGTTCTAAGTCTCTGAATCTCGTCTCCGGACCAAAGGCGTATATGCCCAAGCCCTTACATGGGGGATTCGTAAGGAACATGGTGTGAACGAGCTCGTTCAGCTCTGGCATCAATGCCTGACCTCTCAGATGTCGCTGTAGGTGAGGCGTTATAGTAAGAGCGTAGCCACCATCCAACGGCTGCAGACTATCCCCAAACCGGTCGGTGAAGTGTGGGTTTACCTCGAATTGACTTAGATCCTGCCAGCAAGGTCCATCATCTCGAGAAAGAGGCGCTGCCGTAGACTCTACTGGGAGAACACATTCACAGAATGCGGCGTATTCATCGAATGTCGACAGTGGCAGCTTGTCTGCATGCGACAGCCGTGCCGTGAAGAAGGAGTCGGGGAACTTCCCGGAATATGAGTTCTGCAGTAGTTGAAACACGATCTCCTGAAACTCTGCGATCTCGGAGTCGGATGGTTGCAACCAGTTCAGGTCAGGCTGAATAGCGTCACCATACTCGACAGGTCCGCACGGATATGGAATACGGAATTGAGTTTGCAGGATGTATCTCACCATATCTCTCCATCCTTTCGAAACGTTCCATGCAGCGTACTGTGTGCTTGGCGTGGCGTATCGAAGTATCTGCTCAAGTAGCTCCTGGATACCTAAGGCGCGATGGGGGAGGCCATGCCTATTGTCCGATGTGGCCGGAGGGGTCGCAAGTGGGGAACGCTTTCCGGAGGACTTTGAGTCGTAGAGTGCGATACGCTGGTCGATGATGCGCAGACTTGCTTCTCTCCACTCTTCGACACCAATCTCCAATTGCTCGCGCGGACGAGGAAATGGAAGAGGCCACGGCACTCGGGGTGGTACCTCACCCGAGGTCTCTCGCATAGCAGCTGACGCACGGAGTGCTGAACGGTTTTGGCTGGCAGCTATTTGCTTGGCGGTATACCACTTGTAGAGTAGAACGTCGGACGGATGATATTTGTTCGGGTCAGCCTGACTGATATCGTCGATGAGTAGGGGATTTTCACCGTCGGCCATGGCTTGGAGGTGCGAAGAATTAATGTAAGGATGGAGTCGTGGGAGAAGTAAGACTGCGGTAGTCTAGATAAACCGAGAGCAGATACGAAAGCGTGCTACTGCTGGCTTATATGCGTTGTTGCGATATTCGAGCTTTTGCTGCGAACCAAAAGTTGACCGCTCCCCAAAGCCAAGGCTCCAGTTGACACGTGACCTCGGGATGCTGGCCAACGGGATTTCACGGCTGGCCCGTCAGCACGGACCAACGCGTCACCGGCCTCACTCGCATCGACGCGTCGCGTCCATCACGGCCTCCAGGAAACAACTATCGTGCCTCATATTTACGCGTTCCAGCTCTCTATTCTCCCGCTGGCGTCGCGCAGACTAGACAGGGCACTATCAGTCATGTCTCGATGCAGTCTCTGCAGTTCCTTCCGTGTGCGTGCGGAGTCATGACGAAAGCCAGCCACCAAGAAGGATCCTCTCCACAGGCAAACTGCGTAACTACTGAAACAGTGCGGAAGGTCGCGCACATCATAGCTGAACACACTCACGTACAACCGAGACGTGATCAGACACAACCTGAGATGCCTCCCGCTAGCTTGGCTGATGAATCCGGCTAGCCTTGGTCCTGCACGTGCGCTGGCGTCGCCGCGACTACCAGGTAGGCACCAACGCGCTTTCCCATCCCGTTCGTGAATCAGTCTCCTCAGCCTGCAACAACTCGCTCAATCCTAAAGAGATACGAAAACAGCGCGACCATGAGCGGAGGGCTGGGGAAAATGGGTCGCATACATCGTGTCAAAATACATGTTCTTCCATTCACCGACCATGCTGGCAAAGAGGCGCTCATGGTATTCAGAGGCAGACAAACATGTCCGCTTCCACCGCTCTACAGTTTCCACGTTTATTTCACCCATCAAGACGTCAATCCAGGGAATGTCCAGCCGGTCGAACTCCTCGAAGCTCTCGTCCGAGACACCCCGTATTTTGCATATGGATGTCCCTACCGACTGGAGTTACATTTCCTGCCTATGCCTGGTGTAACGGTTGAAGAATGCGACAAAGCCTGCGTCGCCCACTATCTCGAGGAGAAACGCCACAGAGGCGACTATTCGAGCCAGATCATACACTATGACACATCCATCATTCCCAGCGGTAGTCTACCTGGCTTCGTACCGAGTTACATACAATACGAAAATTGCGATTGGCTACAAGGGCGTCTCTACAGCTACCAAGGAGCCAACTGGTGCACGGACGAGCAGCCTGCACGCGGTATAAGCTTCGATCCTCTCCCTGAAGAAAAGCTTCATGTATTGGCCGAGGAAGTAATGGAAGAATGTGCGGTTGATGGTGTACTTCCGCCAAATCGAGTCGATCTACGAGCGTTTCAAAAGGGTGAAGAATATGGTGTTGGCCCGCAGCATGCGGGGGAGGATATGTATTACCTTTCCAACGGCGATACACAAAACATCACGCTCGAGCCGTATCAGCAAGCGGTTGAGCGTGGTTGGTCGACGTGGTAGGCAGAGTTGAAAACAAATAAGTCGAGCAAGTCAGTACCAACATTCCCCAACAACCTTTTTTTAACAACAATAGCCTATTGACGGAATTAGAGTCCCGAACACGCGCGCAGTCTAGCCAATGGACAGTTAGCGACTTCACAAAATAGTCAGACGCCACTTTCGAGCTATGCAAGCATAGAAATATAGTGCTAGAACAGGCTGATATCGATTCGTTGTTTTCATACAGATGTACTCGCATATCGCTCTCACATCTTCCAGTCCTCTTTGATGATGTCGGCTGCCTTCTCCGCCACAGCATACACCGTCGCCTGTATATTGCCCAACGTCTCCATCGGGAAGATCGACGCGTCGACGACCCTAAGATTCTTAGTTCCGTATACCTTCAATCTGCTGTCGACGACTCCATTCAGTTCCCTCGGCATCATCGCACATGTACCGGTCGGATGAAACGTGCTCAACAATCGCTCCTTGACGATCTCCTTCGCCGTATCCAAATCCTTAGCTTCTTTGCCCTCCGGCAACCTTCCACTTGGCTTGAGAAGAGAAGCAAACGGCTCGGTCTTGACGATGGTCTCAATGTATTGCGTATACCGGGCGAGGATTTCTAGATCCAGCGGATGAGAAAGATACTGGGGGTCTAGAATGGGCTTTTCCTTCGGATCTGCTGACCGGATGTGGCAGAAGCCGCGTGAAAAGGGATGGTTGTTGACTGCCATTATTGTGATGAAGTTGTTGGGGTGAGTTGGCGCAAGCAATGCGTTCATCTGCGTAGCACCAGAAGAGATGTTCAACTGCAGTGGCAGCATCATCGCGTATCCTGCTGCTTCCTTGGGGCCTAGGATTTGCTTCTCGAGCTGTTCGTACTGCTTCTTCTTCCAGAGTGGCAGTCCCTTGTCGCTAATGTATTCCTTTGTCAATTTCGCAATCTCTTCGTGGCTGATGCGACCATCGGAGTCGACGAGCGGAAGCATGGTCATGCTGATCGGGATACCGACGAGCGGGCCGGTCTTGGTGGTCATGTATTGTTGGAGTACGGCTTGAACGATATTCGGATCGCGCATGATGTCTCCAGAGAACTGGTCGTCGGCGATCTCGAACGAAGGAGCAGAGATGGCGTGGTCTTGGAGGTTCTCACCCACACCAGGGCTATCGAGGACTACTGGTATACCATGTTTGCTAAGAAGCTCTTTCTGGCCGATTCCGGAAAGTTCAAGGATTTGCGGTGATTGAATGGCTCCTGCGGAAAGGATGACCTCGTTCTTCGCTATGATCTCATGGTTCGATCCATCCTTTGTTCGCACACTCACACCCGTTGCCTCTACAGAGTTGTCAGAGGCCTTCGTCAGTATCTTTTCGACGAATGCCTCCGTCAAGACCTCGAGTTTTGGTCTCTTCGCAACTTCTGGGGTGTAGTATGCTGACGCTGCATAGCCGCGAGTTTTCGTCTCGGCATCGATAGACAATCCGCACGCGAATGTACCCAACTTCTCGCCTTCAATAGGATCATCCGTGTTGCACCAACCCATCTTGTCCAGGGTCTTGGCCCACGAGGCCTGGAATGGCCCATACACGTCTGGAATCGTTACAGGAATAGGGCCGTCTTTTCCATGCAGCTCCTCATTAATGTAGTCTATGTTGAGGAGCTCTTTCGTTTCCGCACTCGGTGGTGTGAAGCGACTGAACTTGCGAAAGTATGGCGCGATGCCAGCGGCGTCCCAACCCTCATTGCCGAGTGCTTTCCAGGCTTCAAAGTTGGCCTTTGATGGATATACGATTGCGCCAAAATTGATGGCTGAAGATCCCCCCAGAACCTTTCCTCTGGGATGCGGGATCTGGCGACCGTTGACGTGTGTCTTACAAGCCCGATTGTCAGTTGGGTTCGATGTTCTTTTTCACGGCAACATGGCATCGTGCCGCTGGACTCACCTGAGGCTCAGACATGAAGCCCCAATCGTAGTCAGGGTCTCCATAAAGCGTTGATAGCATACCAACAGTGTCGATCTTTGGGTCTCCTTGCCGGTTGGCGCCAGCTTCGATCAGTAGCACGCTCTTGTCCGCATCCTCGCTCAGACGATTGGCAACCACCAACCCGCCGATACCGCCGCCAATGACGATGAAGTCGGGCGCTCTCGTGGAGAGTGCATCGATAGATGTAACGCAACCGATGTGCATGCTGTCGATTGGTAAATCTGTGTGCTTATGGTGGCACAAGGGAGACGCTGTGCGACCATCGCAGTACAACGCGAAAGTCTAAGCGACTGTCCCGCCATAGGATCGAGGACCTTCTCGAAAGAGAAAGACCTTTAATCTGGACTCATCATCGACTCAACGCGCAACGGGCGGCTGCTCCCTCGGGAGATGGCAAGCGATGATTGGGAGGCACTAAGGCTGCGGGCCGGGGTATGCGGGTCCACAACGGTATGCCGAGCGCCTATCTTGTCGCGAACTTGCAAAATATCCACCTCTTTGCTTGATACTAGAAGACAGAGCGCAGGACCGCGGCTAACATCCCTCCATGTGAGGGCGCGGAGCCGGAAAGCTTTGCAGGCTCAGCACCCGGTCCCGCCCGTGCTCCACTGCAGCCTCAAAACGTCTCTAGCCAAAGCAGAAGTGCTCCAGTTACTATGTTCTCGTGTTTAGTCGACGCGATAGCAAGCTGCTCACTTTTCATTCTACCTATCTAGGTACCGTTGCGTCTACCTGGCAGAGTAATGTAATTTACATCCACACAATAAAGACCCGCACGACTTTCTTTGACGAAGCTTCAAGATTGCACGCAAGATCCGACGAATGTTACGGTACCGCTCGCGTGCGCGACTGCGGGGCATGGTCCTCAACCAATGCCGCAACGCGCCCTTCACAGCCTTTTCGACAACAGTGCTTGGTGCAATCCCGGTGGCCTTTGGTGACACAACTTTCTGCAGAATGCCCGTCCTATTATTATTGATCGTACAATTCGCTGAACGGACCGCTCCGCAGGGAAAGACGTCATAAAAGCATGGAGTAGGCAAGCTTGAGACTGTAAGCTGACATGAGATTGCTAGCTGAATGGGGCTGTCAACTAATATGCGAAGTGCAGTCCTCTCAGGACAAGCTTTCCACACTAGCCTAAACAAGCCCGAGCTGACTCGACCTAGGCATATACACTCGACAATCGCTATCGTAGCTCGATGGCGATTCGTCTCTTGTCTTTCAGAAAAATACACCTGCTTATTGAACCCTGACGTGCATTCACCTTCGTAAAAGATTTTGTCGTTTGACATAAGCAGGGGCATATGTCGCATGCACTGCGCCGCAACATATTCTCTGCCTTGCGCATAGCCCCTCGGGGCCGTATAAGGTAGTATGCCATTACGCTCGCCAAATTGCGAGTGGTTTGAGCCAATGCCATGGCGTTTTCCAACCACACCATCTACTTTGTCGGCTTATCGAATGCATGCGGGGGCGAGATGATTCTGCTATATCAAACAACAATCAGTTCTCAAATAACAGCAT